TCTCGTTACCACGGAAATGCTAATCTGAAAGAGCCAGACACACTTCACTGGCTCACAGTCATGCGTCTTTCTATTATGCTAACAAACACACACTCTCTCTCTCTCTCCCACACACACACACACACTTCAAACATTTTACAGCCATTCCTCCAAAAAAAATGTGTTTCACTTGCTCTGTGGCTTTAGGAGCTAAAAAGACAATCAGAAAACGAATTCAGACAGACGGTTTTCCTCTGACCATAAACCCACGATGTTCATTCTTAACTAAATGTCTCTCTGATTTATCTGTGAATTTTGCTCTAAGAAATGTCTATTAAAATAAAGTAATATATGTTATATATGATTTTTTTTTAATTGTAGACAATTTTTTTTCAAATAAAATGCAGACAAATCATACACAATACCACATACATGTGTCTATACATACAAATAATTTGTTTACTTTATAAGCACATTATAGACACTTCAATATATATACATATATATATATATATATATATATATATGTGTGTGTGTGTGTGTGTGTGTGTGTGTTTTATAAAAAAATATAAAAATATTGTTTGTTTGTGTGTGTGTGTGTGTGGTGTGTGTGGTGTGTGTGTTTTAGAATAAAATATAAAAATATAGTTTGTTTGTTTGTTTGTGTGTGTGTGTGTGTGTGTGTGTGTGTCACAAATCACACACAATAACATGTTATATGTTTGTCAAATGTTCTCCACCTCTCACATGACAGAAAATAATAATAATAATAAAATAGCCTACTTCTCATGATTCAGTTCTCAAAAAATCCACCCCTATTCTTTTTTGAATATTTCCATCAAAAATAACTCTCATTAGAGAAGTTAAATGCATTGTAAATGCTGTTTCATGTTAACCACTTTGAAAATTTTAAAATACTGGACCATTATTAGCATTCAGACAATATATGTGACCCTGGACCACAAAACCAGTCAAAAGGGTCAATTTTTTGGAAACTGACACATACAATCTATTTTTGGCTATTGCTAGAAATATACCCCAGCGACTTAAGACTGGTTTTGTGCTCCAGGGTCACATATGAGGAAAACATGAGAACATGTTTATGTATATGAGAGAGAGTGTGTTGAACAGGGATGAGGCTTAGAGAGCATGTGCAAAACACTGTTTACAGTGTTTGACCTAATTGTGTCAGCATCATGCCTGATATAACAGAGACGAACACACACACACACACACACACACACTCATGCCATGTGCAGCAGAAGCAACGTAAACAGGTCCTAATGTGGCCATGCTGATTCTCAATGGTACCACAGGCCCTTCCAAAGCCCCCCACCCCCCACATTCACACTCTCACACTCTCACATTTGCACTGATTCAGATTCATATTAGCTGCTCTGTTGTTAAAGCGCACAAGAGACAATCACTGTGAAAGGGCTGATGGAGGGTAATTATGGTGCTGGGAAAGGGTGTACACAAATCTATTCAATATATCATTACCACAACAATAACACAGACTTCAAAAGTTCCTCTGATATGAGAAACCAACATCATCCTCACAATACCAGCTGTTAGCTCAGAACCAGTTTTACATTTTCTGAAGAAAATATGAGCTGAGATTGCCAACATAAAACCTGTGCCACAATGCTAGACTGTTTGGATGGATCACAGGACGTTGCTAAGTGGTTGCTAAGGTGTTCAGAGTGGTTTAGTGTTTTTTAGGGCGCTCTGGGCGGCTGCTTACAGGCTCAAGTTACACACTAAAGTTGAATACTTAGGATTTAAACAGAGCTCTAACCTTGAGTATGAGCAATGATAAAAATCAATGTAAAAATACACATAAAGGTGCACCAAGTACATTTTTCCACATAAAAAGTTAAAAATAGTATTTTGTCAGGAGTCTAAACATAGGTTTTATTCTACATAACATTCCACATAATAGCAGAATACTAAGACTGCACAATTTGGGGCAAAAAATCAAATAGAAATGTAAAAAAAACAAAAAAACATTGTGATTGCTATTTTAAAAAAAATGCAGGTTTGTAGAGCTGCACAATTTGGCTAAAATATTGTGATTATGTATCAATCAATATGGCTAAATAATAATTATAATAATAATATCAAAATTACTAAATAAAACAAAATAAGAATACTATTGTAATATTTCACGGTAAAACAAAAAAGTATCTTTTTATTGTATTTTCAACTTTAAAATTACAATACTAATATTTATGTCTTATTTATTTATTTTTAATTTTCAAAAGTTAAACCAAACCATCCAACTTTTATTTTGATGAATAACTGCAGCCAAGTCCTTAAAGTTTCTCTTCAGTGCCACGCTTTACTCTGAAACACGTAGCCATATATTTATTTAACTAAATTTGAATATGATTTGATAATCACACCAAACCATATTGTGATTTTGGTTTTATTTTGATTGATTGTGCACCTACTGAATACTACTCACTTCAATTTGATAATCGCATATTTTGCACATTTTTGATTGATAATGCATGACAAATGTGTCTGGATTTTTTTCTCTCTCTCTTTAAAATGGCTTTGTAACTAAAACTTTTGCATGATTCGGTCTCCTCTCCGCTCAAGTCTGTTGTAACTGCTGGCAAAAATGACAGTTTACTTCCAAGACTCTCTTAAAATGAAAAATAAATCTTTATGGGGTTGGTCTGATGAATAACCATAATTACGATGTCATGTTTAAGCAGACTGACACAAACAAAAGATCCCAATCTATTTGATTAATGACGGAATCCATCTGTCTGACCCATAATGACCCGCAGGTACCAGCGACTAGTGCTGGACGAAGTGCATTAGTGACCTTTGACCTCCAAATGACAGGTTAAACAGGAATGAGAGGCTGAAAACAGGCACTTATTCAGTTATTGAAGCAGACTGCTGGAGCGGAGATTCCAGCCTTATGGATTGTCTAAAGGGAGCTGGATTACACAAGCTGATGTGTTGTGAACTTTGCTCAGGATCCTCTCAGAGTCTCAGTTGGGCCAGACTTCCCTGAATGGGTCACACACAGAAACGAACCTCATGAGGAAAGTGTTTGAATGAGACCTCCCAGAGCAAAACAAACTATAAGTGGCTAAAGAAAGACGGGACGGGGAAGGAAGGAGGGCTGGAAGGACACGCCAGGTTGGGTGTTATTCCATAAACATCACATTCCCCCAAAATGACCCTGAAGATCAGGAGATTCAGACAGCATGAGGAGACAGAACGTCCTGACAGCACCGTAGAGGGTGTTCTGCTATAACAAACATCCATTCTTTGATGAACTACTCACAGTTTACATTTTCGCAGTTTTACATTAACCTTGAACAATAAATAAATAAATAATAAAATAACAATAACAACAATAATAATTTGATAGAATCTTTCAGCTCTTCTGAAATATTTCTTTCAATCCTGTCCACTATGGTGGTCATGTGTATTTATCAAAATCTTTAAGATCATCCATGCCAAGTCCAGGTGTCTCTTAAAGAGAACATTATGGACTTTTCTACAATGCCAGATGTTTTGACCACAATAACAACAACAATAATAATATCAATTTTAATTTTAAGTTTTATATTTTGTATTATTTTAGTTATATCATTGGTTTATTATTGTTTTCATATTTTACAAAATATTTATTATTATTATTATTATTATTGTTGTTGTTGTTGTTATAAAACAATTAAATTAAATAATTAAGCAAAATATAAATTGAATAATACAAAATATAAAACAACAATACATTTGATATTATTATTATTATATAAAACATTTTAAATGAATATGAAACAATAAAATAATACAAAACAAAAAATATAATAATAATAATAAGAAGAAGAAAAGTATTATTATAATTATTATAAGTAGTATCTAATTTTATTGTTTTATATTTTGTATTATTTCATTAAAATTTTATCATTTAATGTTTTTAAATATTTTATATTTTATTTAATTATTTAAATGTGCATAATTATTATTATTAGTAATTGTAATATTATTAAATGTTTTATATATGTAAAATAAATAAGGAACAATAAAATATAAATATAATTATACAAAATATAAAACATAATAAATAATTACTATTATAATTAAATATTATTAAAACACTATCATGATTAATAATAATAATAATAATAATAATAATAATAAATCCAAAAGGCCAGAGACTTTAAAACACTCTCAAAAAAAAAAAAAGACTTTCTCTTTCACTCTTGCAGGTCCATTTGAAATCAGCAAATACACAAAACCTTACTAATCTAACTTTACTAATCTCATCATACCACACAAACGAAGCACAGCTTCCGACAGAAACACAGGCTCTGACTCGATTCATCACGGATCACAGACATCAGGCTGGTTTCACTTTCGCATGTGCATAAATGACAGAATCTGTTCTTATGCAACACGGAAATGATGTTCTCAGTAACAAGAATCATGTTTTCCCAATGTCATCTGGTGTGAAGTGCACACACCCCCCTTCTGCTGTCCTTCACTACATAAACCAACTACTTTCACCACATTCTCCACATTGACTCACAGCCCTACAGTAGCTGCGTTTTGGAACATGTTTGCTGGTTTCTAGCTGGTCTAGGATCTAAAAACCAGCTTGATCAAGATGGTCTACCTAGAAACCATATAACCACATGCTCCCCTTAGAGTAACCTGAATGTTTAGAGAGTTTTGACCATGAGTCCATGAATCACTTCATATTGGGGTCGAACCTACAAGTTTTCGGTCTCAAGTCCAGATCTTTAACCACTAGACCATCAGTCGTGCGCGCTGGAGAGGAGACAAGAGCACGCAAAAGTAAACAATTACTTGCATTACATAACTCTTTAAAGGCTGTTTGTGTCATGTATCCGAGCGGTAAAACATCTGGACTGGTGACCCAAAGATCGCAAGTGCAATCGATCACCATTACGCAGGACTAAACCTTGAGAAAACGAACTCTTCATCTTTTTGGATACAAAAGACACTCCTGGAGCGGGGTAGGTACTCACGCACTGCCTCCTGTTTGGGGTCGAGCGCGCCGGTGGTCTCCTGGATCCTGCTCATCTTCCCCCGGAGCGCACAGACGCGCCGGTTCGTGGCGAGCAGCTCGTGCTCCAGCTCGTGGAAGAGCGAGCAGGCGTGTTTGGCCAGATCCGACAGCTGGCGCAGGGTCCGGGACAGAGCCACATTACTGAAGGCGCACAGGTCCTGGAGCAGGAGACCCTCCTCATCCGCGTACGCGCGTCTGCACAGCCACTGGGGCTCCACGATCCGCTTGGCAAATGGCATTTTGTCCTGTACTGTTTCAGTATAAAATCCACCTTTGGAGGAAAACGCAAACAGGTTCCATGTAAAAAGCAAGACCCCCTCCTCCTCCTCCTGCGTTAGTCCAGGGTCTCTCGCGGGTCGTCCTCCATCCTCCGCCGGACACACACACACGCTGAACCGCACTGAGATCCGCCTCTGCCGCTCTGATCCCGCTTCCACTCACTGGCGTGTTTTTCTGCGCTTTAAACTCCGAATGCGTTTAAGGAAAGACGGAGCGAAAACCTGGAGTGGAGTGCGGCGACATTTGGATCCGGAACAATCGCTTTCCATTCACGAGACAGACAGATGTTTTTCAAAGTCAGTTTATGGTAAATATCTTAAATAAGAGGTCTTCAACATGAAATTTTTTATTTTTTTTAATCCCTTGCTGGATAAAGAAACAGCATTTAAAAAAAATCAATGCTTATTATTATTATTAATAATAAAATTAACAGTATTGATGAGAAGTGTTAGAATATTTATTATATATTATTCATTATAATAAATGAAATAACTTTTATTTTTATATTTCAATTTTTCAAATTTAGTTTCAGTTGTAGTAATTTTTATATGCTTTTGTCATTTTATTTTGATTTTTATTTCTATTTAACTTTCTTTTTTTTCCAGTTTTAGTTTGAGCCATTTTTACAAGTTTTAATGCCATATACAAAATAATAAAGATTATGAGAATGAAGTCGTAGCATTGTGAAACTAGAGTTATAATATTTTGAGAATGAAGTACAAAGTCTTAAATTATTAACTTTTCTGGTATTGCTATTACTTTGTTCTGGTCATTTGGACTTTATTCTGAAAATATTAAGACTTTAATCTCCCACTGCTATGACTTTATTCTCATTAAATTATTATTATTTTGTTTCAAAGGCAACATTTCTAATTTTAGCATTTCATCTTATATTAATATTTAAATTTATTTCAGCTTAATTCCATTTAATGAATTTTTTTTTAGTACAATACATGTGCAGGATTACAGAGTTATATACATTTATTACATTTTAATTGTACTTAATACATTTTAATATGGAAGGGACAATGATGTTTAAAAAAAGTTTTGGTTGAAATTCTAAACTTAATATTGTATTTTTCTTTAATGCATATTTTCATTTTTCTAACTAGATCAAACCATAATTGATGGGCCCCCTATTGATTTAAAGTCTGGCCTATATTATATGACATTTTAGCAAAATTTAAACAGTAAAACAAATATGAATAACAAATGAACCAATAAACAAAACTATAATCCAAAGAAATTTGTAAAAGCAAAAACACAAAAGGTAATAAAAAATATCAAACCATTATTTTGGTTCATAGAAACTGTAATTAATTGTATAACATTACAACATATAAAATGTGACAGCCTGCCCCGACTTGACATACCTAGACTTTAGAAGCCCCCATGACAACTTCACATTTGACGACTTTCCCTGTTTTTTCCCTGTAGAATAGAACAGAATAGCGTAGAATGCATTTTGATGCTTGTGGTAAATTAGCTTGTTTAATAACCCTTAAACCTGTAACACAAACAATAACTGACCTTTTAGTGGACAAATGTTGTTCTTTGCAGATTGTGCAAATCAGTGATGTGTTTCCACACTTCAGTCCATGCAGGTTAGTATGTGTGTGTGTGTGTGTGAGAGTGGACGACTTTCCCTGTTTTTTTCCCTGTAGAATAGAACAGAATAGCGTAGAATGCATTTTGATGCTTGTGGTAAATTAGCTCGTTTAATAACCCTTAAACCTGTAACACAAACAATAACTGACCTTTTAGTGGACAAATGTTGTTCTTTGCAGATTGTGCAAATCAGTGATGTGTTTCCACACTTCAGTCCATGCAGGTTAGTGTGTGTGTGTGTGTGTGAGAGTGAGAGAGATTCCTGTGGGGACGCGTCACTGAGAGTCTCATTCACATTTGCTGAGTGAGGAATTTCACTAAAGCCTGATAAGAACTGAAGAGCTCTCGTCCCTTCCTACTGCACCGCTCACACTGAGTCTCACACACAACTGCCATCGCTGCAAAGCAAAAACACACTCACACGCTGAATGAATGAAGGACAGTGCAGAGCCTCGGCGTACTGGCTGAAAATCTATCAAATCAGAGTGACGTATTTTATCAATTCATTTGTATTACATCCTTCGCTGTGCGCAGATCAGGAGCCGTTGGGTGTGCTCAGTGAATCACTGTCTGTTTCTTCAGACACTGCAGATCCATCACAGCCTTCTGTTATGGTCACAACTTCACATTCAGATAGAGAAGATACTTTTATGTTTGATCGGGATGGATCTGGGTAAGTGGTTCTCAATCAGGGCCCGGGGACAACATGCTTCCAAAATTACTGTTTTAATAAAATAATCTAATTTATTTAAAATAGAGTGCAGTGAATTTCATTGCATGCTTCCACTCTGAATTTTACACTGTTTAATCTAGGTCCAGTTACTTCCAGTTAAAAGAACTGATAATAAAAAAATCTTAATTTACCAAAATAAAAAATCTTAATAAAATATATTTATAAATGAACATAAATCTAAATTAATAACTACTAATAAAACATGTTATTATTAAAATAAAAATATTAATAAAATATAAGACTAACAAATATAATAGAACTGTAAATTAGCAATGAACAACAGTATATTTATAAATGAACATTATTGTAAATTAATAAATAAAACAAAATATTTTATTGTAATGTAAAGTCAACACAGCACAGCGTAATGTAATTATAAAAATTTATAAAAATATTATCTTAAATTAATCCATATAAAAAATAGTATATTTCATCAAATTAAAACATATTAACCCTCTGGGGTCGAGGGTGTTTTGGGGCCCTGGAAAAGTTTTGACATGCCATGACATGCCTAACCCTAACCCTAACCCTAACCCTAACCCTAACCCTAACTAACCCTAACCCTAACCCTAAAATATAAGTATATTTAGAAATAAACATAAATCTAGATTAAGATAACTAATAATAAAACAAACATTTTATTATTAAAATATAAATAATAATAAAATATATGATTAACACAAATAATATAACTGTGAATTAAATTATTAAATACGCACACACACACTAAATTGAACAGTGTAATATAATTATAATATATAATATAATTGTAAATTAATAAATAAAACATAATTTTATTATTAACACACACACACATATATATATTCGTATAAAAATAAGAATAAACAAACAAACCAGCAGAACTGAGAATTATTTATAAATTAAAACTATCCAAAATAACAATAGAGGAATAAATAAAAACAAATAAATAAATAATACATCTATGAATTAACAATGAACAGCAGTGTATTTAATATTTTTAAATTAACATTACCTAGATTAATAAATGTTGTAAAAAATTGTTTTCAATTATATCTAATGTATTAACTAATGTTAATGATTTGAACTTTATTGTAAAGTCTTACCATTAATTCTCCGAGTTCTGGATGTGCTTCAAATGTTGTCTTAAATAACTTAAATAAAACCTAAAATCAGTGGATGTCCTTAATAAAAATATTAAAGCAAATGACCTTTATTTTAAAGGAAGAAAAAAGGATGGCAAAAGTATTGTGCTGTGAACTGCTGAGCTACACCTGTGACTGAACACCTGTGTGAGTGAACTTGAGCTGATTTGACTTCATACATCCATGTGAGAGAGATCCAGGACGACTGAGCGCAGGTTATTTTGGGTACATGGAGAGAGTGGGAGTCTCAGTCGCTTGACCTCTGACCTCCACACTGCTTGTGTCTTTGTGAAACCAGCACAGCTGCCACGAGTGACTGTGTTTCTATATCCGTCTGTTAATGTGTGTGTTTGTCTAAATATGTCTCTCTGCTAAAACGACCATCTCATCTGTGACTCCAACTGCTTGAGACACTTAACCCTGTGTTCTCGCCGTGAAAAAAACTCATTCAGAAGGCTGTTTTACATTGTTCACAGAAAAAAGAGCATCAATAATGAATGACAAAAGCAGAGAGAGAAAATACAGAGACAGACCTAGAAAGACAAACAGAGCTGAACTGGATTTGAACTCATTTAAGGCCGTTTATGGATTTGTAATCTGACAGAATGAAGCCAAACACTCACGTGACCTACATCTGTCTGTATTGATGTGTTTGTTTGCTATGGGTGATGGGCCTCTGCATGGTTAGATATTAAATATAAATGTGTAATCTAGAAAAAAGGCAGCTAAAGTTCACCTTAATGACCCTACAATGCATTTAGACACTGGATTCACACTTGTCAACATGTCATTGCATTTTAAAAACAGAATATCAAAGCAACTGCGCTGAAGTACTGTAGGGACTTTTCTCGTTTTTCTCATTTTCACAGTTTTTTTAACACTAGATCTATTGTTTTAGCATTTCAGTTATTTTCTGAAAAGTGTGCCTGCGCTGTTTTTTTAAAATAAATGCCCTTATGTGAAATAAATAAATACTGAATTAAAACTGTGAATGAATTGAAGTATATTTATAGGAATAATAACAAATAATATATGATTATCATATATATACTTATATATGAGCATTACCCTATATTAATAATTAATATTATGTAATCTTAGGACATATTATTACATAATATAAAATTATGATTTATTTTATTAAGGATATACATATTAACTTTTTATTTAATATATAAATAATATATTAAATATAACTAACATAACTTTTTATTTAAATTATATATATATTTTTCATATATTAAAAGTACATTTATAAATGAACATTACCCTAAATTAATAAATAAAACAATAACATTTTATTATTAAAATATTTTATTATAAATATACTAATATATCAATTAACATTGAATTAACAATGCAACAGTAGGCCTATATTTTCAAATTAAGATTAACCTTTGTTTATAAATGCTGTAAATGTTCATTATTAGTTCATGATACTTAATGCATTAACTAATGGTAATGAAATGAACTTTACTGGAGTATTATCATTAATGTTTCTAGTTCTGGAGGGACTTTGAATGGGGTTCCATGGAGTCAAAACTAGATCTATTGTTTGAGCATTTCCAACTTGTTTTTCTGAATTGTTTTGCCTGAAAAATGTGCCTGTGAGGTCTCTTTTGTAAAATGCATGCCCTTATTTTGACAGTCTCTTATCGAATGCAATGACATTCATACATTAAGTGTGATATAATTAAATACATTGTGGACGTGAGGCCCATGTTTATGTCATATGGTTGTATAAGCATGTCACTCTCTATTGTCCTGTT